TCCGGTGAGCTTTTCCGGGTAGAAAGCGGCGTTTGGGTGCTGAAAGAATCCTCGCGCCTTAGTTTCATCGAGGGGGGGGCGGCTTCGAACAAAACTAAGGCGCGGGGATTCTTTCAGCACGCATAGCAAGCCGAGCCGAGCGACCGTCCCAAAGCCATCGCGAAGCCCATCGACACAGGTACAAAGGAGGAGTTGAAGGTGGCGGGGACAAGCGGGGGACGGCTGGCTGGCCAGTTGCTCGGCTCACCTTGCCATGCGTGCTGATGCCGGTACCGGGCCGCAGATGATTTTGTGATGCCGGTACTGGGCCGCGGCACAAAAAAGATTTGGGGCCACTGTTCTAGAGGATAGATGTCATGACAAATAGATGGGTTCAATAGATGATTTTGTTTAATTGAGAAATGTAAAAGGTATAAACTCTGCCATTTTTTTTCCAGATGGGTGGAAACAATGGGAACTAGACAGTCCTTTAAATGACTTGACCCTATGTCATGTAGAACTTTATATGTGATGATCAGCACCTTGATTTGTATCTGTACCAGCAACTAATGCAACTTGTGAAATAGCATGGAGTGGTCCTATTGAGGTATGCTTATCACTGTCCTTAATTTACCACCACAGTTGAAACTGGATTTCTAGTTGTAAGTTATGCTCATAAGTTAAGGACCCACATGATCAGACCTGATGTTATGATCAGTGGCGGGATTCAAATTTTTTTTACTACCGGTTCTGTGGGCGTGGCTTGGTGGGCATGGCAGGGGAAGGATACTGTAAAATCTCCAGTCAGAGGTGGTATTTGACAGTTCTCTGAACTACTCAAAATTTCCGCTACCAGTTCTCCAGAACTGGTCAGAACTTGCTTAATACCATCTCTGGTTATGAAGTTTGTGGTGTTTATTAAGTAAATCTATGGTTGGGAAGTGAATACAATGATTGTTAATGCCCTCTTGTAAACCCACTCTTCCAATTGGGCAGTTTTTGTTGGACATTGTCAAAAAATTCTGGAGCCTGGCAAAAAGAACGTCCTTTTTAAAAAAATCAAAAATGTTGTTTCAGAAAGGAAAAAGAGGCCTGGTGATTTGGATCCTGGTTGTAAAAACAGACATTGCTAAATTTGTCTTTAATATGCCTGGAGACAGAAACTGGAAGTCTTTGTTGAGTTTGTTGTAACAAAAACAAATGCAGCTACATTGTTAGGCTTTGCTCATTCCAATGATGAAGCTGCTCTAATTTGTGATGGATTTTTAAGGTCAGCTTTTGGGGGATCCAACAAGGGATCCAAAGAGGGCAACCACCTAGGCAAAATGTTACCCATTTAAGAAGAGAAATGTGAATAAGACAAATTGTAACCCAAACTTTATTAAAACATAACAAGCACAGTACATGATCAAAGATAACATGCATCCTCCCATCTTGGGTTTATATTACAGAGAAAAGTAGACCACAAAGAAAGGTAGCTTAAAGACAAACTTTTTCAGTCTTCTATCAAGTCCTTTAATACAAAAACAAATACTCCCAGTGCTCTTAATTTCCTTCCCAGAAACAGGAGAAAATACTTACTTGCCTTGAAAATAATGAGAGCATTATTTTCCTATCTCTTCATTTGTGCACCATGTATGATACAGTGTAAAACAAATATTTTGGAAAATGAAGTAGAACACATTATGACAACTGGAAAATGAAATTAATTTCCTTCACATTTCTTTATCTGATTGATGCTTAAACTATTCTGGTTCAAATGAGTGAGTTAAACCTTAATTGTGTGATATTGGATGGAATATCTACTCTAAATTACAGGATTCACAGGCTTGTTAATGGAAAATGTAGCAACCATATTTGACTTAATATCCCGTAGTAAAAAAATAATCCCTGTCAAAACAGTCATGGGTGAGTGGCTTAACAAGTGATTCAAATGTTCTTAGAAAGTCTTAGAAGAAGGAGCAGAGCCTTTGGCTTCCTGTAAATAAATTCAAATATTTCTAGCCCTGTTGCAGTTTGAAGTTAAATGTTTGAAGGCCAGGAATAGGTGTTCTTACTTCCCAAAGCTACAGAAGCACTACTATTACATGAGGATTGCATTTCCTGTAGATGTTGCATGAATTTAAATTGTGCTAGAAGTGCTATAAAAATAGTTTATCTTTCAGTCACTTCCCAACTCCTGAACATGAACTTTCTGATTTGGTTGCTTAAATATTTTCTTGCCTTCTTTCATTGCCTGACAATGCCTCCTAGTGCTACCCCAGTTCTCATTTTCCACCAGTATCTCTTGCTTACCTATTTCACCACAGCAATTATTCAGCAACAATCAGAACTGACAATGATCTGACTGTTAAAAAGATCCAGCCAACTTTTTAGGCAGGATCATGGCCATAAAATTCCATCATTCACTGCTGAAAATTAATATACACATTTCTGGCTATTACCAAAAAACTGCAGTAAGTCTTCAGAGCAGGCTTAACACATTTTGGTTGAGAAAAAATGGTCCACACCTGAAACAGTAAAGAAATTTTCTCAAAACTTCATGAAATTTAACCCCATTTTCCAGTGGATGTTATGGCATAATTAACAGCTGTCTTCCTATAATTCCCTCATACTGAAAAAAATTACTAAAGAGAAACTTTATATTTGGATGTGGTCAGGGGTGGGATTCATTTTTTTTAACAACTGGTTCTGTGAGCGTGGCTTAGTTGGTGGGCATAGCTTGGTGGTCATGTTATTGGCTGGGTGTGGCGAACTCAATATCACTCACATTGAGGCACACATCTCCTCGCCTGGCCTCTCGTGACTGTGGGAATGCTGCAACAATCGTAAGTGTGAAAAATGGTCATGTCACTTTTTTCAGTGCCATTATAACTTTGAATGGTCACTCCACACAAGCAAAGTACCATCAAAGGAGGGGGAAAAAACTCCAGAGAAGTTCCAGAGACAGGAAATCTAGTCCTGCCAAGAATGTAATAAGGGTTAACGGAGAGGCAGTTTCTGTAAGCAACACCAGAATGTTTCCTTCCTGCCTTCCTTACAGGATTAGGCCAGTAATTTCTTCTAACAACCGGTTCTCCAAACTGCTTAGAATGTTAAAAACCGGTTCTAGAGAATAGGTGCGAACTGGTAGAATCCCACTGCTGGCTGTGGTGAAATTGTCTGCCTCTGTGATCTTGTTTTCTTTTTTGTTCCTTGACGTATTTTGGCCTAGTGGCTATGTTCCCAGCAGCAGTAACTTTAAAATAAATAGAGAATATCATATTTAAAAAGCCACAATTTATTAATGTTCCACAGTGTATTAATTCATGTTTCATACAGGAGTATTAAATTCAGTAGAAATCTTTTTATATCAACATTTTTGTTCAAATAATTCAAAAAGGTATTTTTAATTGCTATCCTCCTGAGATGGTACATGTTTAACACTATGAGGCCATACAGAATTCAAGATTTATTGTAGACAAATACATCAAAAATTCAAGTAGAATTCATTGCATTTTCATTGGTACTAGCATAGTTTTGAGAAAAGAAGAAAAAAATATAAGATTTTAGTTTCCTAGGAGAGGGGACATAGCTTGTTGGTATGCTATGGTTCCAAATGGTCCAATGGTTTTAAGAGATGTGGAGAGGCCTTGGCCCCATGTTTGCACTATAAGAATTTGAAGTTATGCTGAGATTTAGGAAGCCAGTTGAGCTTCATCTTGGAGGAGAGAAAAAATAGTGCTATATACCTCCCCCCCCCAAACTCCTTTGTACGTATCTCACAACATGATGCTCGTTGCAAATTTAGTTTGCAAGTTCCACTCAGTAACATTCCCACACAGTCCTCCCCCAAATCCCCCACAAAGCCTTTACAATCTGATCTATTGTCTTCTCATCGGTTGTCTTTGAAACTCAGAAAATGGAGGAATCCCCCACAAATGAGTCAATGCTCATCCTCTAGTTTATCAAAAGGAGAATATAAAATGCAATTCAAGTGTTCCATTGCCTGAATTGCTATCAGCTGTGGAATAACGGAACCCCCTCACCTCATTCCATACAAAGATGAAATCTCAGAAATTGTTACTGCCTTTTTATCCTTGTGTTTTTAGAATATGAGTTTATGTGCATTTGATGGCTGGCAAAACAATCTGAAAAACAGCAGTGGTGGGAAGCTGAAGCAGGAAAGTTCAATCAAAAGAAAAAAAAGTAAGCAAAATATCTCATGTTGCTCGAAGACTTATTATCTATTCTGCTACTGTTCGATTTTTATATTTAAGTGCCCCCATCACTTGTAAAATCTGTTCTGACTTTTTCCAATCACTGTATCCATGCTTGCAACAGGACTGTGGTGGCTGGATTTGATGAGGGGAAGACATATTGTGAATAATGCATAGAGAAGAGTCAAGGTCAGTGAAGGTTGAACTTCTGTGAAGTTTGGTAATAATAGTTAATCTGAAACCAGGAACTGAGAGGAAGGTTAAGACAATAGTTATCACAAGTGAGAAAACAGACTGCCCAGAAAGTCTGCAGAGCCTCTGTGATCTAAAAAGAAAAAAAAACTAAAGTTTTAAATACACCTGAGAAAAGTTAGAAATAACCTGATTCAATTCACAAAAAGAGATTATAGCATGAATCCATTCTACCTGGAGGCAACCCCACAGAGGATTGTGGAAATGCCCTGAGTTTTTCTTCAGAATTATAACTTACTCCTTTCCTTTGTCCAATCAAGGATTCTTAAGAATTGTAATTCTGTGCAAGGGCTTGGAACAGAGACTCCTCAGCATTGTTCCCAAACTATAATTCCCAAGGTTCTTGGAGAAGTTGCAATAGTTATACTGTCTTAACAGTGCTGGTTCATGAGATCATCACCTAAAGTATAAGAACACCATGTAAATGCTAACATTACTTTGCTGTTTTAAAATCCAACAGTTTTTCTTTTGGAACAGTAATGGATTCACAGCATGCAAAAAAACATTTTGGAATATGTCAGCTAAACGTGAATTAATAACTAATTGATCCAGAATTTAGACTGACAGAATTTCAAAAATTTAGCTGCAGGCATTTGCCGTAACAGCTTCTTCCCTTCTTCTAGGTCCACCAGAAGCACTCACACTGACAAGTCGTCAGACCTTGCCTTACTGCTTGTGTGGCTAGTTTTGCTGTGTCTGCGTTTGTTCTGAAAGTATCCATTTGGTGTCAGATTTGATGCAGAATTTACACTGGCTTCTGGGTGTTGCATGTAGTTTAGTTGGATACAGAGGGCTTCTCCACCTGAATCATCTGGATTGTGAACCCTCTCTGTTGCAAAATTGACCGTGTTTTGCTCAGAAGCCATTTTGTTACTGAAGGGGCTGATATATTTCCCAGTAGGGTTGGCTAAACACTGATTAAAATCTGGAGGAGGGGTGCAGCTTTCATCTGTCTTCACTTGAGAGTCTCCCTCCAGTTTGCCAATTAGTGGTGCAGGGCTGATTTTCTGAGAGAGTGTGTGTTTAGCTTTCTTCCATCCTAAGTGATACAGTTCAGCCAGGCTTAAGAAGAGGGAGAAGGCTGCTACCACAAGCATGAAAATAATAAAGATGTTCTTTTCTGTTGGCCGAGAGACATAACAGTTGACCGGATTAGGACAGGGCTGCCGGTGACAGACGTAGAGAGTCTCCAGAAAGATTCCATAGAGCATATATTGCCCAACAATGAAAGCAATCTCCATGGTGGTACGGATTAAAATACTGCAGACATAGGTGTTTAGCAAAGTGCCCTGAAGAATTATTCTCCCACTGGGTTCATCCCAGCAGGACAACTCTGTCTTCTCTGGTGCTGGGTAATCCTGCTGGGAAAAAGAGTCACACTTGTTCTGGATTGTCCTTGCTCCTTCCTTGGCCTCCTTAAGTTTCCTCTTCTCCTGCATACGGACAGTATGCATTGCGTGACCCATGTATAACAGGGATGGTGTGGAAACAAAGATAATCTGAAGGACCCAATACCTGATGTGGGAGATTGGGAAAGCTTTGTCATAGCAAACATTCTCACAACCGGGTTGCTGGGTGTCGCATTTGAAATCTGACTGTTCATCTCCCCAGGAAGATTCTGCAGCTGTGCCCAGGACAAGCATCCGGAAGATAAAAAGGACAGTCAGCCAGACTTTTCCCACTACTGTTGAATGTTTATGGACTTCTTCAAGGAATTCTCCTAGGAAGCTCCAATCACCCATGTTTGTTCAACTGGGAGATTGGCGTCTGACGGTAAAAGAAAAAAAAGGAGTTATGGTAAACAATGTGTCGGGCATGGGAAATGTCTTAACTTAATGACCTCCAGATGTATTGGATTCTAATTTTTTTATAGATGGCCATTAGAAATGCACTAATTATTAGAATTGAAGTCCTTCACATCTGGATGACATATTGGGCAAAGCAGTAAACCTTTGTGAGTGGCTTTAAAAGACATTAAAGGCATGAAAATGTCACCTTTAAATGTAGATTATCATAAAGGTAATAAGGGAAGCAGGAAGTTATTTTTTTTCCAGTGTTTAACTTTATATCAGTGCAGCATAGAAAATAGGTTCAAAATTTGTTCAGGGAGTAATATACCCTTTGATTTTAATCTTATTTGTTCATATTCCCAAGCTTTAGACAATGTTTTTCAACCTTGGCAACTTTAAAATGTGTAGACTTTAATTCCATGAATTCCCCAGTCAGCCCTTCTGATAAACGCTGCTTTTTAGACTATCCCATATGCACTATCATCCAACTGTCTTCTCTGGTGGCCACAACATACCTAGATAGTATGGGAAGCTAAAACAATGGTGGCCATCTTTCTCTCACTATATCAGGGTTTCTCAATCTTGACAACCCCCAGCAAACATAGCTGGGGAATTCTGGGAATCAAAGCCCTCACATCTTGCAAAGGTTGAGAAACTGAACAATAGGAAGGGCTGGATTCTACGGTGAATTAGTGCTAAGAATCCCCTTGAGTCTTTTTTCACTATGTGATCCTCAAGCTGTCCATCTCTGATTCCTTAATAGATTTGTCTTTCTTGGTTAAAAAAAATAATGACAGAAGATGAATAGGAAAACTGAGTCTTTATTACATAAAGTTTATTACATAGTTTGGAGCCTCTGTGGCTCAGTGGTTAGAATGCAGTACTGCAAGCTACTTCTACAGCCAGCTGCCTACAATTTGGCAGTTCAAATCCCACCAGGCTCCAGGTTGACTCAGCCTTCCATCCTTCCAAGGTGGGTAAAATGAGGACCCAAATAGTTGGGGTCAATATACTGACTCTGTAAACCGCTTAGATTGGTCTGTAAAGTACTATAAAGCGGTATATAAGTCTAAGTGCTATTGCTATTGCTATTGTCCATCTTATTTAAAGGGTTAGATCAGGGCTGTCAAACTTGCAGTTTGCTAGCTGGACATGTCGTGCACTGGCCCTGCCCATGCCCAATTTAGTGAAGAGGGAAAAAGTCATGTTATGTCACATGACGCCACCATAAAGACATGAGTTTGACACCCCTGGGTTAGATGTTGCAGTCTTCTCTTACCCCGCCCCCATTTTCCATTGCTTCTGCCATCACTGCTCCTTCAAAACGAAAGGAGAATTAAAAAAGCAAAGAAACAATAGCTACAGAACACCATTTGCCTGGTAGCACTACACACTCTCCATCCAGAGAAACACAGCTTATTGCACTGGAATTAGAATGCTTGACAGATGTTCTGTTTCCAGATTTATTTCAAGCATTTGTAGCTTTAAATAAATTCTGACACTGAAGTTCCAATGCATGCTGCTGAATACTTGAGAAACTAGCTTCAGACTCTAACCAAAGGATAATGCTAAGTGGAAATAATGACCTTGGGTGTGAGTGTACAGAAGGCTGCTGCCCAGATGGGTGTTAGATCGAGTTTTGCTCGTTCATTATCAGTGACTTCAGTGTCAAGTTAACCAGTATATGACTAAGCGTGAAAATTGTAGGGCTGGTACTAAATTGGGAGGTGTTGGGTATGTGAGGAGAGCCAAATAATTTTGATCAACCTAGAGAGATTAGGACATGTTGACATAGTTTTAAGACAGTTGAAACAAAAGGTTACAGCTGATGCTGCTGAATTTCTCCAGGTTTTAGTAGTTTGCAGCCAGCAACAGGGACTTTTGCTCCTTTAAGAATACATTTTAAAGATGGCAAATAATTAAAAAGCAACAAATAGTAAAAATACTGTGTAATCTTTAACCTCAGAAGAAATACTTGTGTTATGTGTTTATATGCTTAAGCTTTGCAGAAAAGTGTCACAGAATGCATGTCTTCTGTCTTTCATGTGATACTGTTTGGTTAATTAAAGAAACAGCTCACAGTTTAAGATAAACAGTAACTGCAACTTAAACTAGATTTTTCCAAAACAGTAAGAAAGTCCCTACTCTCTTTGTATCTCTAATAATAACCTGCATTTCTAACTCTACCTTTTAGGATCCCTTTATCTCTTATTTCTCCTTTAGATTTTTCCTTCTTGATTTTATTACTAAATTCCATAACCATTGTCATCTATAATATCTTCATCCTTCATTTTCTCTCTTTGCTCTGCCCAAGGTATCCCAATTGGGAATAATATCTCATGCATAAAATAGTGGGTTCTTTTCCAGAAGAAACAGTTTAACAATCTCCAGAGATCAGGAAACACTGGGCTGCAGTTGGTATATACACTGTCAAGTGTAAAATATATCACCATTTGTTTTTTTCTTCCATTATCGTGTAAAGGATTGAGGATACATCCAAGAACTAAGGAAGAAAAATGTCAGTCTCTTTCTGTCCAATATCAAATGTGAATTTGCAAAAGAATGATGAGAACAATATTTTTGGAAGTTTATTCAAATTCATCTTCTAGATTCAAGGGCCCCATATTTATACAAGATATGCTTTGATTTATGGCATAAATTGGGAATTGGAAATATTGAGGAAGGGCTAGGGAAGGGGTAGTGGACTTGATGCTTGAGTAGAAATTATGCATATGTTTGAAGCAGTAGCAGTGTTAATTCTGTATAACCAACTACATGATAAATTATGATCACTCCATTAAACAGCTAGAGATCAAGAAATCCATGCAAAATATACTTTCTTCTACCTCTAGTAATGTACATACCTGGACAGGTATATCTTCATTATATGTAACAACAATTCCATATTTAAATTCAATTGCAACTTTGCTAGGTTAATTAAACTTCCTAACATTTTTATGTATTATTTAATTTGCTGCTAAATGTCGGAGCAACATGATCTGCAACTTACACATTCTGCAAGCATTGTGGCTCTCCAAAGATCACTTTGTTTTCAACTCTTTCTAAGGAGGCCAACAAATTTACTGGTTATGATGATATAAAAGAATTCATTTGCAGCTTTACCCAGGAATGAAGCACAATTGATTCTTCTTTAGGACATATAAACGGTTCATTGTTTCTATTTTGCTTTTTTAGTGCCATGTGACAAAGAAGACAAGGACAGTGGAGATGGATGTGTGAAATCTGCCCTCAAGCCAAATAGAGAAAGAAAATAATATCACATTCTATCATGTTTCCGAATCCTTCTCGCTTTAGCATTCCAAGGGCAAAATAGAGGAATAAAAAAGAATGTAATATTTATACTTGGCATATTCCCAAGTGGTCATGAATCTCATCATTCTGAAGTTCTCATACCAAAATGTAGATAAAAGCTGTGAGAAATAAGTTTGTCTAACTAGTTATTGTGTCTTTTATACTTCCTTATTGTATTACCTAAGAGGTGATCACATTTTTCAATCATTGTTTCATAATGTATATATTTTGATCAGTGCTAAGGTAAATGCTATATTTAAAAATTGTTTCAAAAGAATTCATATATTCCCGCAGCAACTGGCTAACCATGTGTGGTCTCTGAAGCTGGGGCTAATCTTGGAAATTAAAAAAAAAAAACAATCAGAAAATGCCCTGTTCCCCCCCTCCAATTATATATAAGGAGCCATATTTGATGCAGAGAAGAATCTTTATCTGTTAACAAGTTTTTGACTAAGCCTTCAATGCAGTCTAGTAGTTGGAGAAGCCTTAACGCTAGAGAAGATACTAGAACTGCAAAGGGTGGATCAATTGTTGCTGTGGTTACGAAATATCAATACAAGAATATATTCCAACTTCACATACTGTTGTGTCCCCCAATATTCTGAAAATATAATTCTGAAAATATTATGCGGGTTAGCATCAATTAACAAAGGGAACATAGAAATGAGACAAAAAATGAAGTTAAAACATATTAAATTACAGCACTGCTCTTGCTCATTTTTGAATTGCCCCAAAGTTGCATCCCACTTTAGAAAGTGGGTTCTTCCAGTCGTTCTGATATAAGCTTAAATGTACACAATGAAAGGGAGGGAACCTGTTATATCTATAGACTAATCATGGTTGCTCATCTACTTTAAAATATTCTGAATGTAATATAAAAATGTCAAATTCTTATACTCCAAAAAGCTACCTGCTTACCCTCTTAATTGTATTTTAGAAATACAGCTTTCTTTCTCAAGACAGAAGTGACAAATTTCTACCGGCTCAATGCAATTCATCTTTCTGTTTGTAATGATTTTCAAAGAACATTTACTTACCTAACTTCTTTTTCCTTGAAATTGGCTGTTATTTTTACCCAGCATAGAGCCTTAGGAGTTTGTGTTCAAGGTCTTATTCATTTTTTTTCTCCATTTGCAGCTTGTCAGATACCTTACTGTCTTCTCTCTTTATATGTGTATTTACTTCTCGTCATGTTTGCTCACCCCTTTCCTAGACACTTTTTTTTTTGCAAAATTAGTAATTTTATAGGTTTCTTTCTTCCTCCAGGGTCTACCTTTGCAGTTGTTCTTACATAAATACTGCTGTTTTGCAGGTTTTCAGTTGTGCTGTTTTTAGTTGTCAGGAGAGCAAGTACTGCTTGTCAAGTGTTCTTTGAAACTGAGGAACAGTGTGAATCCCTTTGCAGTTGCAGCTCTACGAAAAAAAGTTTTCACCACTCATAAAGAAAAAGAATGGTTGATGTTAATGGGTGGGGCAGAAATAGGTTGCCCCTAGTTATCTCTGAAAAACTCAACCAATGAAATCAAAGATGTGTTTCTTAGGGGCAAATAGTCATAAATTATGCTGCATTGCTGGATAGTTTAAAACAGAATCAGAAGTTTGTGGATTTTGCTGGCAAAGCAACCAGCTTAACGACAGTTATGGTTTTGAGGCACCATCC